CAGGTCGGACATCCCGCGAACATCTTAATGTGTGCACTCTGCGCCATGTTTTTTGTGACATGGGCCCATCTTTGTTCGCTTGAAGAGCTGAACAACGCGAACCGTGCTTGTCACCCGCCTAGATCAAGGCCAGTCATCAGTGATATTTGGGCATGAGTCAAGATAATGAGGGGGACCCCCAAAATGGAGATGTTCCTTTCGCTCTGCCTTTAAACCAACCTTACAAAGGGTATCCTCAGCAAAAATAAACAATTCCCCGGACAAAAAAGAGTTTTCCTAGACTCCAAACCTCCCAATACCAAGATAGAATTAGCCAATAGCAAAACAATTCTAAACGCTCAAATTCCTCGGGGACAATTTAAAAAACAATCGTGGACCAATTTTAAACCAATTCAAAAACAGTGCACATCTAGAAGCAATTGCCCACATTTCTGCTGCTGGACCTACTTACTCGGACACCGCAATTCTAAGCAATGTGTGAGTCGAAAAGCGCGTTTGATTTGGAGGACCTGCTCTTTGGCGGAAACAGACCCCATTGTTTTTCTTGTTTTGTTTTAAACAAACCATTCAATTTGTGCGATTTGTTCGCATAGACTAGTTTCTTTGCATGTAACTGTGCATTGGCTAGCCTTTTGTGGAAAACACACAAAACACATCGAGTTTTTGAAACAAACTGACCCTGACTAACCTAGGGTCTGACTTGTTTGTTTCTGGAAAAAACTCGATATGTTCACACGTTTCCAACAAATGCACAAGCACCCAAAAACAATGCGTTGTCCCAAGCAACAAAACACGCTAAATGTCAGATCCTATGTATGCATGTTGGCTGCTTTGGGTCGTTATTTTTGTTGCTCCAGCTTTTTCAATTGTCCGAAGAATCCGAAAACCTCGAGTTTTCCAAACACATGAAAACAATAATCAGAAACTATGAGTCCATGTTGGCCGACTTTGGGTCTAACATTTGGTTTTGTTGTTTTTGTTTTGGACGCCTCGTGTTTTTGTCACACTTGTCCACAAGAGGACAAAAGCGAGTTTAAAAAAGCAAAAACAGTCAGACGATATGTATCCATGTTGGCTGATTGGGGGTCTATCTTGTTTTGGTGAAATCTCGTGGACGTTCACTCTTTTCCAAAACAACCTCGGGCTTTCCGAAAACAACAGCAGGCAACAACATGTCAGAAACATGGATACATCGGATCTGAAATGCATGTTTGGTTGGTCCTTTAGAACAAGTGTTTGGAAACTGTTGAACAACCTCAAGCAAAAACAAACAGACCCTAAGTCAGCCGACATGCATACATAGGGTCGGACATGTTTTGTTGGAAAACTCATGTTTTTGCACGGATTGCTTTAAATAGACCCTAAGGCAGCCAACATGGATACATAGAGTTTGATTTGTTATTTGCTTCTTGGTGTTTGGACAACTCGAGTTTGTTGAATTGTCGAAGTGTGTTCTTGCATTTGTTGGGGACACACTGTCAGACCTATGTGTACTCAGCCTAATGGGGTGCGCACCTTTGGATTGTGTTTCGATTGTTTCTTTTTCACTCAAAGAATGTAGCCGGAAAATGTGCTGAACAATTTGGAAACACGCTAGACATACGACAATATGAATTGTGCTAGCAATAGGTTAGCCTAATGATGGCACAATGCAGCAGAACATTGCTTAGACAAGTCGGGTAGCTGACAAGATAGAACAAATTAAATATACACTAGAACTATTTTTGAACCATGCTTGAGACATGGCAGGCTTGTTGTGGAAGTAAGCTGGACATGTGTGGAAAAAACAATCACACTATATAAACTGCACGTATGCTAGACATATGATAGGAAGGTGCAAGGCCTATGCTGGGCGTACACATCATACATACAAAGAATTGGAAAGAATTGGACGTACGAGCCACATGCAGACGTCTCAACACATGTGGCAAACATACACTAGAAATTCCTGGGCATCAGGCTCGATGTATGCTAGAATTCGTGGACATATGCTAGGCACATGCTATATGTTTTGCAAATTGCTCAACATCTACTATGTGCAAGCAAGCTGACCCTGGCAGGCACGGACAGAAAAGCTAGACATGCAAGACACATGTAGGGTTATGTTAGGGCAACTGCAAGAAACACCTGATAAGTTCAATGATTGTTAATAAGATGGAGCTACAATGTCCGAGCTAGGAATATTGTAGGTACATGCTGGGGACTGGCTAGATACTTGCTGAAACTCTGCACGGTTTCTGCTCGAAAACACCTTGGAATAATGTCAAACATATGCTGGATATGGCCTACACGACAAGTCTAAGCAATACATATTAATATACAACATGCTGAACTTGCACGGCATACGCAAAGCAGTTGCTGACATGTCCATTGAAAATGCAAAAAGTAAATGAAACAACTGTAGGTGATTGCATGGCTTGCCGAAACCCACCCATGAGGGGACGCTCTCACTAATTATTATCGTTTCATCTGTTGATGGGGGGGGGTATTATTGTGGGGTTATTGAGGGGGGGGCGGGGGGGGGCAGATTCTGCATTCATTCGAAATCACTTGGACCAAAGCGACACGTGGCTGGACCAAAGCGGCGAGCGAAGGAGGCCTCCAACTCGCTTGAGAGCTCCGGACCGGGCCGCCCCTGGACACGAATCCAACGGAGTCGTCTCTGTCCAAGAACTTGAATTGAGGGTCCTTTGGACACCATTTAGGTGGGTATATACATATATATTAAAATATATATATATATATGTCCAGCCATCTGAGAGGGGCAGAAAGGCAAGCGTGTATTTGTGTTCAATCTGCTTCACATCTTGCTCAGGTTGCGGTGTTGATCAAATTGCGGTTGGCAACGCTCATGTCCAATTTCCGCAATGTCCGCGTTTCTTGGCTTTCCACCACCCTCTTTGTGTTTGGGGCGCATGCCTATGTTTCCGTGGCTAGCCTCGCTCCAGCTTCAGTCACGTTGTTCCACTCACACCTGAAGGAATCAAAGCCAGCCACGCCTCTCACGGATCGTAATGTTGACAAACCTATCCTGTTTAGACGGCAGAGTTCCCTCCAGTGATAAATCCCTACTAAAAGGGGCCACCCCCGTATTAATCCACCGCGGTTTCATGCATCCGGGGGTCCCACGATCGATTATCGATGAGTTTCATGATCTGCCAATTGTTTGTCGACAAGTTGTTCGAGCAGCGTGGCCGTGCTAAGAGGCTGATCTTTGCCTCCCAATCGCTAGAGTGGGAAGTCCCGGCGTTGAAATGCCACAATGCAACGATTTGAAACCATTTCAAATGTACCTTGTCTCCGTGAACATGTTCACGCGAAACGTGACCCTATTTCCCCACCTCATGGTTTGTAGCAAGGAGCGTGCCTTCACAAAACAAGGCACCGATTTTTGCCCCTACCTCATGGGTGTGAACCACAGCAAGGCCTGCGCAAGAATTCCCACCAGAACTTGCGAATCCAATCGCCAGCGGGGTGAAGATGGGTCAAACCACAGACCGATTCTTCTCGCAACGCCCTAGCGAATGCTCACCCAACACGCCCAGGGGAGAACCCACATTTCCGATCCTTGAAGACGTGACACCGGACCCTTTTCTGACCCAAAAAGCAATCAGCCAGCATAAATCTTGCTGGGCGTGCCACGAAAGGATCCATTGTGTTGCTATGCACTGATTGAACAACCAAAACAAAAAGGTGTGCATTACTTAGAGCTGGTCCGCCCTTTTGCTTTCAGCCAAAAGAACTGCAAAGCAAAAGCCAAGAGCAAGCCAACCTTCTCGGGGGGTTCTTTGGTTTCATTCCCGTGCCCGAGAGCTCCTTCGGCGTGCCTCCAACATCTCCACCTCCAAGTTGGACCGCTCCTTCGGCGTTGAGAAGCTGAAAGGCATCCAAGAATTGGGCAGGCGGGGGGTCGGGAGCGGGGGGTGGTGGCGGGGTGGTGGGGTGGTGGGGTGGTGGGGTGGTGGGGTGGTGGGGTGGTGGGGTGGTGGGGTGGTGGGGTGGTGGGGTGGTGGGGTGGTGGGGTGGTGGGGTGGTGGGGTGGTGGGGTGGTGGGGTGGTGGGGTGGTGGGGTGGTGGGGTGGTGAGGTGGTGGGGTGGTGGGGTGGTGGGGTGGTGGGGTGGTGGGGTGGTGGCGGTGGGGTGGGACAACGACACTCGCTTCCTAGGTGTTCGCTCCGCCTGTGTGGATGTGTGGTGAGTGGGGAGGTAAAGAGATGGGGCAGTGCGCGACAGCTTGCATGTGGCTGGACGTTCGATCTTTTTGGGAGGAGAAAAGGAGGAGTTCGTGACAGGACATCCAGGCTCTGCAAGCTGCTCAGTTAAAGGAACCCCTCACTGCCCCTGACAAATGTCCATTCAAAACTCCTTTGATACACACCCACTACCTTTAAGACATGCCGCATAGGAGCTCTTGCGGATAGGTGGGGGTCCTAATTGCATATCAGATTTCCGGCTCCCACGAAACATTCGGGAACAATACTTTCACCTACTTGTTGCAATCAAGGGCCATGGATAGCAAAGCCGAAGGTACCATCCAAAACAAACCACGACCGGGGGCCACAGAGGTCCCCTGTGAACAAATAATGGTTCCGTTCAATCGCTTCGCATATAGTCACAGGGGAAATGTATTCAACTTCTACCCCCGAAGTCGCAACCAAATGGTGAACCTCACAAAGAAACGCAAGCAACATATTTCACACCTGAGATGGACCTTCCAATGAGACTCGTTGTTCAGCCCACCTGTTCGAATCGCGAACCTCTAAAACCCGCATAGTGTCCCAAGTCAAGCGCAACATTGGAAGTCAGGAGGGTGCAAACGCTCACTTTTGCCCAAGATCGGACTGGCAAGTGACACCGATTGTTCGTGCTGTCACTGTGTTGGCAAGGATATGCTCATATCCTGAGCGCACAATCCACACATGTATTAAACGGATACCACCTAAATGACGGGTTGGGCAGAAGCATCTGCCCAAGTGAGCGCACTTTGGTTTCGTCAATCTTGCCAAACGAGTAAGCCGCAGTCGTCATGCAAAGCGTGTCGACAGCGGAAGATCCTCGCACATCCCTAGATGCAGAACCAAACAATAAGAGCGTGTAGGCGTACCCCTCTCCAAAGTGAAAAGGATTGCAAGGCATCTTGCGCAACACAAAGGCAGCACGAAAAGCTGTGGGCTGTGAATGGGGCCCCTTTTGAAAAAAGGAGTGTTCTTTGGCAATCCGGACATCTGCAACGCCGTCCTGGGTGCTTTGTTTTTGGTCAAAAGGCCGTAGCAGAAACAAACAACATAACATGAACATACTGGCCTTGCTTGCTCTTGGAAGGGATTGTTGAAATTACCCAAAACGCCAACCACGAGGGGTTCTTGTAGGAAATGATTCGAAACGCCATGCCCATCTTTTGGGCATGGGAAATCGAGGAGAACGCATAATTAATTAGGTTTACCGCCGCCTCTGTATGTCTACTGGCATCATCACCCGCATCCGAGCCCGCTTGTTGTTCTGGATGTCACTGGACGGCATTGCAAACAACATCCTGAAGCAGCGTCCTCCTCATGCGGGAAAAACACAAACATAACATAGCGCACGCCACTCAGGCCGCTCTACTCCGACCCTGTCTGCCCGCATGAGCTTCATTTTCTTTCACCAAAACAGCGCATCTGTATCTATCTGGCTGGTGCATCATTTGCTGGTAAAAAATGAAAAGCTTAGCCGGGTTTTGGTAAAAATGCCTTACCAGGAACCCCCCAACTCGGAGTGCCTCCGGGCTCGGGGCTTCCAGATCCAAGGCGTCAGCCTCGGAACGGCCAAACCAGCACGCAAAAGAGCAATGGCATGCTACTGGTGGGGTAAGGACTCTCTTTCTTGGACGCGTTGCTTTCTCAAGGTCCCACGAGCTCAGATGCTCGGGAACAGGCTCTATAAGAATCAGCGTATGACAAGCAACTCAAGCTTAAGTTAAATCGCAGAACACAGGGGGAAGAGCCAAGTGAACCCAGTTCCCAGGCCTGTGGAATAGGACCTATGAACCGGCATTGACAAGTTGGAAAGCTGGACCTGCCTGGCTGCATCCTCCGGGCTCTTTTCATGGGGGTATTTGCTTCAATCAATTCCAAACATGTCTGAGGGCATGGGACAATGCGGAACAATCCTTGGGGAATCTCTGCAAAGAACAAGCTGCGTTCCAACCATAAGTTCGGCCAGCTTCAAATGCCCAAATGCGCACCCAGCCCCTTCTGCCGCGGCATGTTCTCTTTTCTTCGCATCTACACGCGGCTGCCTCGCTTAAGTCCTGCGTGGGGCCGGGCAGCTGGGTGGATCATAGTTGGTGCACAAAGGACCCCAAACATTTGCATACACTCCAGCGTGATTTGCTTTCAAGGCATAAATAAAAATAGGATCTTGTCAATTCTCGCCATGATGGAAGTTCAGGCCATAATGCGAACGCTTTGCTTTCTTCACTGTGGTCACCGGGCATTTCAATTGTTAGGCTTTAGGGCGCCGTCAATGGTATCCATGTAAAAGACTATGTGCAACCCCCAGGCCGCGGTGCCTCTCTGCAAAGTGGTGCTCTGGTTGCACCTGCGAAGTCAGTCCAAGTTTGCCACCGCAAAATTGCACGTCTAGATCTTTTTGTTCTGGTTCTGCCGGCGCCGTGGACAACTACAATGTAAACTTCAATCAAACGGTAAGGAAACTGACAGAGGACCTAGTGACAACTCGTCGCTTGTGCTTGGCTGGCTTACCGGCGTGCCTTTGTCACTTCATTTTGGGGAAGGGGTGGCCCTTGAAAGGGAAACCGAGCCGCTGTCATCCGCTTTCCTTGGGTGGTTGATGAGTCTGAGGTGTAAAAAGGAGGCAAAGCGTCCGTTTGCAAAGGAGAAATGCATTGGACAAAATGCATTGGACCACCTACTGAAACCCCCCCCTGCTAAGGGTACAAGCCCCAAACGCACCCAAGGCTTGGGACATGCCCAGCTCCTGGTCGAGGGGGCAAGCTGGCAGTGCAGCACCATGCCTCAGAGCGCCGCCCTCGAGACACAACAACAACAACTTGTCAGCTATATACCTTAACGAGAACAAGCGTGGAGCGCAGGGGCAGAGTTATGGCACCACATCAAAACAGCTAGAAAAGTTGATTCACTGGAATGATTGCCAGTTGAGAAACCAAAATTGGATTTCTATCTTCCGCGGATCTATCTTAGCACCGTGGTATAAGCATTCACCAAACCCACCTCACACCCCCACCCGCACACTCGCAAACCCGCAAACCCCGCCCCCGACAAAAACAACAAAATGCGCCCGAGGTGCGGTAAAACTCCCCAGACTTCTGGCGGCTAGGAGCTGCCACGAGGCCCTTGCCAAGGGCATCGTCCCCCAGCATTGCGCCTTGGGATGAAAGACCGTGCCTTGAAATTGGCGCGCCCCGAAAATGGCGAGTTTCCTTTGGGTTTCCCATACTACTATACTACCACTCCAAAAAGGGTACCCGGAAAAAGACACAGCGCAAATGGCGAGGGATCTCTAGCCATCGTCCACAAGAAGAAGAACCACTACCATCTACAAAGCGTTGTTTGCCAGAAGTGCCTTTTGACTTTTGACCTTAGACTTGTGAACAGGAACGTGTGAATGACAAATCTTAGCTGACAGACAAGCATGCGCCTGGGCAAAATGAAGCTGTGCAAGTCCAAACCGCAAAAGCATGCATCTGGGCAATGCGTAACGGGAGCGGGTGGCAGAACAGCCGCAGCCTGGACAGGGCGGGAATCAAACCCTCTACCACGTCCAAAAAACCGTGCTATCTGCCGCGGCCCTTTTTTAGTGCCTACTAAACAAAGCCTCTTCGCTTAACTCAGGATTTTCGTACCGTCCCATTCCGGTGAGTTCACTCCAAAGCCGGGGCCTCCCGAAGCAGAAAAACAAGTCGGAGGTCCACACCGTGTACCGTGTCGGACAGGCCAGCACCGGACCCTTGGACCCATTTCAAGGCGGCACGGAATGACATTATGGTTGCCAAAGTCCCTTCTGACAACTCCCCTGCTTGGACCTGGAATCCTTCAACTAGATTTCCCTCTACAGGCCATGGCGAGACTGCTGCGAAAAGGACAAAAATACCAGTTGGGATGCACGCCGCACGGGTTGATAATCGCCAATCCGAACTCGCTCGAATTGAAAACCCTGTGCCTGCTCATGCTCCTCATTCGACACTTTCTTGCCGTTACAAGCAACTAGGGCGGTAAATAAAATGAACGTTTGAAGAAACACGCATCGCCTGGGTTCGTTGAGGTTTAACGCGATGAATCTGAGCCTATCTGGGCTACTCAACATGGCCCCTTACCTAACCCAAAACAATGCTTCAGGATTCACTTTGAACCACGGCCACGCACTGCACGACCCTTCACACAAACAACAGACGGGCGCCTTGAGGCATCCGAACGAAGGGTGCAGCCAAGGCGCGCGCCATCATCATCGCCTCACGCTCCAGTAAAAATGTGCAAGACTCGCACTTGCTTCATGTTGTTTTCCCTTTAGAATCCGCATGGTCCTCCTGCCAACTGCCAAGCTCAAAAACCCGTTCATGGGCCCTTTCAAGTCATTTCCGCTCCTATATTTTTTGCAACCACCTGAATGAAGGGTTTTCTATGGGCAGCTCGTTCTTCCCAATGAACTCGTCGTGCAATTGTCACCAACTGCGCGAGCCTTCAGAGCGCGGGACATAGGCTCCTCCGGCCGAGCATGGTGCCCCCGCTTCAACACCTTCTAATTAGGGAACCCGGGTTCAGTTTCCTTCCGGTTGGTGGTTTGGCTTGCTGGTTGGAGGTTTTAAGGGAGGTTTTAAGGTGGTTTCCCATTCCAAACAAATTAAGGGTTACCTGACCTATGATAGGTCCTTCTTGGCAAACTGGATGGTAGATCAATCCCCAACGAAGCCAGCTCCAACAACCAAACTGAAGGACACCCAGGTCACCCGGCACCCAATCGCTTTCAAATGCATGATGAGATCGTCAGGCGTCCCAAACCCACCAACGATGTTGGTAGGATGACAGTTCTACGACGAGGAAAGAAGAAAACGGACGTGTAAGAACACGTTGTGGCTTTGCAAAACAGGGAAAATTGCAGAATGGGTGGTTCTGTTTGGCTTCCCAGAAAGAACGAAAACAAGAGCAGTCCGGAAACCCATAGCTATACAAGGATGCCCGGGTGAACCGCACCGCAGGCAACAGTGGCCTCAGTGACCTGTAGAACCAAGATTGATTGCTCTTCACAACTTCTGCGTTTTGTCCGATCATGCCCTGCGTGCCACAAGCACCGGCATGATGTCTGTGGCATCTTCAATGCGATACGCCATGGCTGCCGGCTCTGCTAATCTGTATATGTGTTTCTCTAGATTCCAAACCATCCGCTTGCTTACCCCAGGCTATTCGGAGGTCCGTTAATTTTGTGTTTGGGTGTAGCTAGCTATCAGTCGGTTGAGGCTGTCTCCAGTTGGAGACATAGCAGTTGTCACACTGAAAAGAAGAACTACTACACTTGATGTAATTGCCAGAAACCATGTCCGGCGCCTGAAACAGTTGGCCTTGCCATGAACTGGAGTGAGCCGCACGCACCCTCTTGGATGTGTCCCCCGAAGAGTTAGCCCCCTGTTCCGCTAGCACTGTGTGGCCAAAAGCCAAGGAAGACAAAACCATGGCAAGCTGAATGCGGCAGGAATAAGCAGCAGTCATCCACTCAGGCAGCTTGCCTGCCCCCAAGACATCTGCACAGCTCTGGTGTGACCCGAAATCCAAGCAGTCCACCAACAAGCTGCACGGAGTTTTCACGCAGTCAAAAGGTTCCATCCAAAAAATGACGACTCTAGAACCAACAAATCTTCCCCTGACATTGCCTCTCCGGTTCAAAAAAGCTGCCTCTCCGGCCCTGAAACCCCAGATTCTCTAAAACAAAATCTTCCCTTAACACTGGCCCTCCAGCCCTGAACCTCAGACTCCATTATTCTAGAGTCCACCGTTTATTACGCAAAGCAGGGACTCTAGAGCCAACAGATCTTCCCTTGACAATGCCTCTGCGGCCCCGAAGCCCAATTCTAGAGGCCCCTTCTTCAAGAGAAAAGCAGGGCTCTAGAAGCGACAATTGTTGCCCCTCCGCCTCTGAAGTCCCAGATTCCAAAATTCTAGGGGCCCCTTGTGGGTTCTGGAGTGCCTGCTTATTGTTTTAAAAAAAGGGAGCAATAATGATGGAATCTGGGGCTTCAGGGTCGGAGAGGCAGTGCTAAGGAACGATTCTCACAGGCCCAGAACACATTTCTAGAGGCCTCTTTGTTCAAAAAAGAGAGGGCTCTAGAACCAGTAAGATCGTCCCTTAACAATGCCTCTCCGACTTTTCAGGCGCCAGATTCCGTCGTCTGGCTGCATGGACTCTAGAACCCACAAATCTTCCCAAAACACTACGTTCCCTCAACACTGCCCCAGATTCCATTCTAGAGCCCCCCTTTTTTCAACAAAAACAGGGACTCTAGATCAACAAAACACTTCCTAACACTGCCTCTCCGAAGCGAGTCTGCGGCACACTTCCGTCCCCCAACTGGCCGCCGTCCGCCCAAAAATTGAATCCCTTTGTCAAAGCCTTCGTCGCTCCCCGAAACCTGAAGCAACCTGAAGCAGAACCCAAGCATCAGAGATGCTTTTGGCGAACGAAAACAACACGCGACTGGCTTTGGGGCCCCACAAGATCGGGACATATCGGGACATGCCCGTGTTCCCGTCCTGGCCCATGCCGGCCAACGTCACGGCGCCCTTG